GACCACACGGACGTCGGTCAAGTTCTTCGCGGACTTGCTCCAGGACCAGACTGTCGACCACCTCGTGCGCGTCACCAAGACGTTCAACACCAATGGGGGACCCCAGTACTGTCACCTCGTCGCCCTTGGACCCGACGGCTTCGTCCTCTGCACATGCCTGAGGCTTCTCATCCACGGGCTCGGATGCCGACATTGCTTCCGGGCCTTGCGCGAGACGGACTGCGGCTTCGACGGAGGATGCATTGCACCCCGCTGGCGTGACGGCACCGCGCCGTGGGAGATGGCACCCTTGGCCGCGAAGCGTGCGGTGCCAGCGACCACAGCTAGAGGGCTTCCCGGAGAGCTGCCGCCCGCACCTGCGGATCCTGGCGTTTTTTCCCACTCGACACCCACGGTGAGATCCGCCATTTGGGGCACCTGCGTCAACATGGGGAAGCAGCTCGCTCCTCTCATGACAGAGATCGACAACATCCCCGCCTGCAATCGCATCGTGGACAACCTACTCATCCACGCAAAGCAGCTCATCGAAGTGGAGTTGAGGTCGCAACATGACACCTGCACGAGCCGGGTTTTCAAGGGAGTCGGTTCCCGGCCTACGATCGCCACCGGCCCGCCAGAGGGAGGGGACGGGGAGGCGGGGGCGCGCGGAGGTCGCGGAAGAGGAAGCGGCGGAGGTAGAAACCGGGGGGGGCGAGGAAGCGTGGCGGGAGAGCCTCAAGAGGAAGAGGTGGAAGGGGAGGGGCGAGCCCCGGTGTTTACGCAATGGGTACGCCGCTTCCGGCCGTCCAACAGGCAGCCGGCGCTGGCACCACCAGCGTGGGAGGGGGGGTGGGAGGGCCGGGCCTTGGTGTTTCCGCGACGGGGATACCAAGTCCTGGCGTGGGCGTTCCGGCCTCCCAACAGGTAGCCGCCGCTGGCGCGGTGATGGGTTTGTACCCGGCACCCACGAACGGGGCACACGTGTTCGGGGACTCAGGCACACCGCTTCGCTCCTTGAGTAGCGCGCCTCGTGGCGGGATGGAGCAGGGTTCGCTCGGGTCCTCGAATTTCGACGCGACACACTCCTGTGCGCCCGAGAGTTTCCAGCAAGCACAACTGAATGGAGTAATGTGTCGTGCCAGCGAAAACCACCGTCAGCCCCTGCTCACGCCGCCTGAAGATGTTGCCTTTTTGGAGGACGTGCAATCGCCCGAGCGGAAGAAGCACACAGGACAGACTAGGAGGCGCACCTCGACGGAGGGGAGAGATAAGCGTGGTGGAGGACAGCACGTAATCCAAGGAGGTGTCCAAGGCGCCTGGGGGATTTAGCGTGCGTGTAATTTACTTCTCTCGCGCGTTGACCACGGTTGTAGGGCTGCGTTGGCGTTTGTCCTGTGGCTACTTCGAAGTACACATTTTTTTTTGTGGGGGCGCATATCATAGAAGAGGGCATTCTTTCGAAACTTGAGAACCCGGTAGCAGTGGCGGCACGTCCGCGAGGGAAGGCAGGGATAGAGCGAAGTTGAGGGAGTAGTCTTTGGTTAGTCGCCGCACTGCGTTGCCTTCTGTAGCGTTTTGGCTTGCGCTCATGTCCGTAAAGCGTATTGCAAATGTTTCGTGCCGGTCTTTTTGCAGCTTGGTGGTCTTTTTGCAGCTTGGTGGACAGCAAAAGTGGCAGCGAATGACGAATGTCTTTGATGCCGCCTTGTTTTGCTACCTTCCCTTTTTTTTCAACAGGATGAATTTCCTTTGTTGAAAGGAAAACATGGAATCAAAGATGGAACCTCCCCACTTTAGAGCCGGAACTCTGTGGGCTCAAAACGCTGCGGGCTCAAAACGGTATTCCATACAGTGATGTATTATGGGTTAATTTGAAGTAGAAAAAACCCTACTTGTACACAGAGTCATTTTTACTTTAGAATCACAACTGAAGACGTGGTACACCATTTGCTCGACATCTGCCATTTAAAGGCTAGCGTTGTCACGCTTCGCACAAACTGCCGAAGACCCGACCCAACCGAACCAATGACAACACACCAATTTTTACTCTGAAAGCTACACGCTCTGAAAGCTACACGGGCAGTCTTTCGCACAACAAGCCGCGGCATGCTGCAGGGTAGCCAGACAACCACGACAGCCCCTCTTTCGCGACCGGAGTGCCAATAGCGATTTGCACCCTTCGAGCACGGCACCCACGGCACTTGCCCACGCGACCTTCCTTCTATACTTCCTCACTAAAAAATATGATGCCTCCAACGATCACTCTCCCAAGATTCGCTCTTCCAATATCCACCGGACTATTCCTCAGAAGAAGAAAATGCGGAAAGGTGGACAGGTCTCCGTTGTTAATTAATTAATTAAACAATGCCTTTCGCGCCCCTGCCACTCCCACCACATCCACCGCGCCAGTGGGCTACTGGGGAAATAGTCCATCATTTGCCGATATGATTGCGTAGGGTAGTGGTCTACTGAGGGTCTATCAGGCGTCGCGGTACGCGCCTTTGGTCTGCTGCTGCGTGTCAGGCTGTGCCGTTGTGTGTGGGACAGTTGCTGTGTGTGTGTTCGGCGTTCGGATTCAAAAAGGGTCTGTAAGGATTGGTTCCGGAGGCGTTTTGAGGGCAGGCCGATTCCGCTCTACCCTCGAGGGCGGAATCCCGGGCGCTGCGAAAGGAAAGTTGTCGGGGTTGCCGCCAATGGTATATGACATAAATTTTATGTCATATACCATTGGTTGCCGCTGTCGTGTGCGTGTCTCTGCCCTGTGGACCAGTCGCGTCAGAATCGCTCTTCATTGACCAATCAGAGAGCTTTACTTTGCTTTGCATCGTAAGGCATCCACGGTGTGGAACACCTGTGCGCTGCACTGGCCAATCACAGAGCCGTATTTGCTCTGCATCGCGCGCGCAAGAGTGCATCGCGCGAGGCGCGGCATCAGACCTCGCATTTGTATCGTACTACTGCTGTGTTGTTATCCCCCCTGAGGATGCTCTTCTCTGCGACTAGTCGGCAGAGATGCTGTCTCAATGAGCCCAATAGAGTGTGGCACAAGCAAGGGGAGGAGAAAGGCGAAGGACTGCGAGGCCATGTCTAGTGCGATTGGCACATCGGTCGGGCAGTCGCACGGCCGGGGCGTTCGAGCGCAGCTATCTTCTCCATCGCCTGCACAGAACACGGCTTGCTTCCCGCGTCGACCGCGTAGCCTATGATGGCCAGGCTCTGTGCTGCTGCTAGTCCTGGTTAATGGATGGACTTGTTGCTGCAGCACAGCAGCAAAACCTTCTATGACAAGAGGTAAGGAGTTGAAGAGGTAACAACGCACTGAGACTTTGGCAGCTGCTGATATATCATCTACTCTGTAGGATAGATACATATACCATGTGCAGCAGTCAGTCGTACAACAAGTAGTCGTGGTGTTTCTTTGCTCCGTCACGAATGATCCACTTACTGCGCTTTTCAGCCTTCCATCACCGATGATTGATTCACCTTACGCATGTCAGCAGGTCGATATGTATGAATGTATGTGACTTTGCTTCAAAGTGCTCTACTGCTGTAGGACGACAGGTGGCGTGGAATGACGGCGGTCCTTGTGAGCTCATTACAGCAAGCAGTCAGTGTAAGAGTCGCTTCAACCTCTTCTACTACTTCTGTACTAGTCGCTGCTGCTGTACGAGGAATAGCTCCGTTGCGTATACCACTGCGTCTAGCTACCGTTTCCGTATCATCATGCATACCCTGTCGACTCGCTGAATTAACGCTCTCTTTGGCACTCTGTGATGGCCGGGGACACGTTTCCGCTCACAGCCCATTCCTGATTTGCCCCGCGTGGGCCCCTTTCGTTCGACCCCCTTCTGCTCGACAACGGAAGAAGGTGCCCAACGTTCAATGCGGACGGATGTGCGTGGAGACATCAGCAACATACCCGACTGCGCGCTATGGAGGGCGCTGCCTCCGGGAAGACAGCGCTGCATGTCTGCGGTTATCAGCTGGTGGTTGTAGCAGCATGAATTCCACCAGCATGGCAGGTGTGTTTGACAACCGTTGTGCTTAGCCTTTGGCCACCGTTTTTCTGGTGTTGGGACGTTGAGTTGCTGTTCATCGGAGTCCCGAGAAGATCATAAATGAGTTTCCATCAATTCCTATGTGTTGTTTGGTGCTCCTTGGTGTCGGTCAGGACTTCGGAAGCACTTGACTACTCACCGTCCTGGCAAGTGGAGCAACAACCAGTCGGCTAATCCCTGCGCTGGCCCGCGTTGTCTACCTTTAGATATGCTAGGCAGAGCTGTAAATCAGCGGTAGCCCCGAGGTGACAAAATGGCATGCTGGATATTCAAGTTGCGAAGAGGGTGTGTCGTGAGGACGAGTAAGGCGGCTATTCACGCTAGAGGCCGAGCTTACACAGAAGGGAGCCTATGTTCAGGTGTTATCTAGTACCTCAGTAGCACGTCCCCAGCATATGCACACCATCGGCGGGAAATTGTACAGAGCCTCATTCCCGAACAGCAGGCAGCACCCGAAACCGCCTGACTTCAACCGCCGCTCGCTGCAAAAGCTGCTGCTGCTGCTGCTGCTGCTGCTGCTGCTGCTGTTGCTGCTAAAATTGTAAATAATTTTTGGCTTTGCGCAAAGGACCGTCAACCTCCTCCTTGTTTTTCTTGACAGCAGTTGTCTCGTGTCAAGTAACTGTAAAGTCCAGGAGCGAAGGTTCGTCGGCTCAGTAACAAAAATATTGAAACAAGGCATCTCGAGAGGTTTCACGTCCGCAATTCATCTTGACTTCATATTTTGCGTGAGTCCGACTTCCCTCCGTCCGATGTTTGGTGCTCTCACCAGTACGGCGCTCCTTGGTTTTTGGCGTGCGCATGGCGTGTACCCTGGTTCTGGCGGTAGTAGGCGGGTGATGTTCGTTTAGGTGGCGCGTGAAGCTTCTTCAACTGCTGTGGTACCATCACTCCAAAAGCCTGTTTTTTATTCCGGCGTTGTAGTATTTCTATCGTTCTACGATTTTTCGAGGAAAGATATTTCCATTTCTGCCGTTGCTTCTGACCATCACCACCCTTTCAAATCGTACGCCTTGTTGACCTGAACGTGTTTTGTGTCCACTCTGCTGGCAGGCAATCAATGAGCCCGAACTTGGCGCAAGGATGTTGCGATAGGCAGAAACCGGATGAGGGGTGTGGGGTGGGTGGGTGGGTTGAGAATTCCGATGCTCTGCTGTCCAAGAAGAACGGGAACCAGCGTTGGTGCATTGAAGAGTTTTCGGCATGCGTCTCTACCGCAGCCCGTGTGCTGTCCTCCACCGAGATAATGCGTGCAGAACATGGGGTATGAATGGTGTCGAGTGTTGCCTGCGTCGCAAGCAGGTGTTTGTGGGTGTCGTTCGAGTGACCGTTGATGTCTTTGTTGGCAACTGAGCTGCGTTGGCATGGGCGGGGTTCGATGAACCAACCAAACATGAGGATGGCATAAGGATAGCGAAAATTGGTACGAACACACGTTCGAGGGTCAATTGCAAGCCACGGTGCCCAATGTTGCGCACTCGCCGAGCTGTTTGGCATGGTTGGAGCGTCCGTTAACTTGGTTATATTTTTCTTCTCTGGCCGGAGTTTCTGTTGACGCGTGTTGGACACGGGCGCAACGAAAGGAGGTCAACCGACGGAGGAGGCATGCATAGGCCACAGCCGACGGGAGACGGCCTTCCTGAACCATGCAAAATGTATAGTATGCAGCACCTGCTCATGTCAGACTATGCATCCAGACGAAAAAAACTGTCGGGATCATCGCGATAGAGCCACAGCGGTAACGCATAAAGTGCCCGTGAAGCAATAATATTTTTGGTGAATGGGGGAGATGGGCATTTACTTATATCTCCCTGGCTGGGTGTGTACCTCTTTGTGAAGCTACGGTTCCTTGGCGTTCCACGATTATTTCCTGTTTCCGAATATGTTTTATTTCTCATGAGCAGGAATGCCATTTGCATGAAAAAGCCATGCGGGAAAATTCAGTGTTCGGATGCGAAATGACCCTTCCACTTCTTGTACCAATTAGGTACAACAAATACGCCCGGGAACATCAACCTTCAGGAATATAGGTTGGTTTCACACTGCTCTTCTGTGATGTTTTCAACGCCAATTTGTCTCCAGACACCATCCATTACACTCGCATGATTCCCGGCTATCAGAAACCAAAATCCGTTTTGAAATCGAAGCATTTCTCGAAGCGGTATGCGGCAAAAGGTATATGTCTCCTCCCTTCTCTTTTTCCCTCTCTCTCGCTCTCTCACGGGCGAGGGCTGCGCGCGCGCAAAAAGTTTTTGTATTACGTTGCGCGGCCTTCGGCTGTGGAATTAGATTGAAAAGCTGGCCCGCAGCCCGGTACACCAAAAAATTGCCGCCCCGGTACACCAAAAATTTGCCAGTCGCGTCGTTGATTGGCTTGGACGTGCTAGAGGGAAAGATGGTTTTATTGAGGAAGGCGAAGCCATTGCTAGTGGCCCTTTCTCTTGCTCTCGGCGGGGTCCGGCTCGCGGGTGGTGTGGAACGTGAGTAATGGTGGTGTAAAAGAGTGAGCTTTCAAATTTTTTGGTTTTCATGGGGGGAAGGCAGTTGTGTATGTGTGCATGGTGCCGACGCGCTCCTTTGCAAGCAGAGGCGCAGCAGTGTTCGTTTTTTCCCCTCGTGTGCATATCTTGCCAGTTGCACGAGCGACCTCCGTGGACAAACATTCCAAGACCCCGGGGGTCTCGTGAGTTCGTGAGCAATTCGCTGCGTGATCGCATCGGTTTAGCTTCTTCTGTTCGGACCGACACATCGGCGGTCAATAAAAATCGCAGACACACACGGCAGGGGCAGAGCCGAGAGTTGGACCGTTCTCTTCCACAGCAGTTGTAAAAATGTCCCAAATAAAGTATGAAGCCGGTTTGTAGGAAGGAGGCACGTGTGAAACATCTTGCCGACCTCGTGGCGAGCCAACATCGCGCCGACTGGTGTTGTCGCCTGATCTATCTAGGCGGTCGTTGTGCCACCAAAGCCCTCACACGGGCGGCGGTCCGCCTAGCACTCCCGATTTAAAACTTCAACAGCAGTAGGTATGGTAGGTTTGAGATTTCCACATTCCACCCGCTACATTTTGCAGCAGTAGCCTACACGCCCCGCCCTCGGCGGGTACACGCGTTTCCCTTCCCCGGGTTATCCTGCAATCCCGGAGATTGAATGTAAAGAACGGAGAGGGGCTGCTACTGCTGCTGCTGCTGCTGCTGCTGCGTGCAATGTCTCTAGGCCGTTCGTTATTCGCTTACAAGTCTAGTTTGGGATCAGCGAGACTTTCGTTCTGCATCGATCAACCAGAGATTTCTCCGATGTGTTAATTGTTTGCATACAATATCTACATGATATTTCCACAGCGGTCGAACGGAATGTGTTGGGAGTCATCTCAGCGAAATCGGAAGAAAACCGGCTCACAGAGAACAATTGCAAATATTCCCGAAGAGCACGCACACACCAAATGGAAGTGATGTCGTCGTGGTGCAGCCTCATCGCTGGCAACCGTGCGCGGACGGGGTGGGCATTTTTCCAAACCAGCCTAGCCTCTCGAGAAGGGGTTTTGTCGTTTCTGCCCTTGGGTGGAGTTTCGCGGGTCAGTGTTTGGCGACGTTTTTTTATGAGAGGGCAAAGCGCCTACGTATGCTCCGTCGTTGTTTGGCTGGCGACACATCATGTGAACATGGGCACCTGAGATGCACGCACGCGCCGACTCGGAAAAACACAGCAGCTCACAGACAGCAGTGCTGTTGGGTGATTTATTTTTACTTTTCTCCAGGGATTGACTTGACTTGACTGACTGCTGTGCGAGTCCGGCGCCCGGGACAGAGGACAGTTGACGGTCCTCAATAGCGGTATGTAGTGACAAGAGGCCTTGATACCGCTATTGAGGGCACTGCCGCTATTCCTCAATAGCGGTACGATTAGAGGTATTAATACGCTATGGAGGATGAGAGCGGCAACAACGCCGAAGCTTTTTCTCAACAGCGGTATCAAAACCGCTTTTGGGAATGAGAGCGGCAACGAAGCCGTATTTTTTGACACACACTTGCGCTCGTTGGTGTCACGTGTTACCTACGCCATTGCGTCCAACAATACACGCGTTGAGCAGCATGTTCATACTGTAGTTACTTTGAGTTAGGACTGACTCCAGACCAATACCCTTGTAATAGTGTACTGTGCAGTTTAGTTGGCTCAATCAGAAATCCTCACCATCGTGCAGTACTGCTGTACATTACAACACTACGCCCCCACTAGTCGAATCGTAGCAGAGCGACGAACCGTACAGAAAACAGAGCCACATAGCGCACACAACAATGTCAAACTGTCGCAAAAAAAACATCAGAAACTCCTGTTGCTGCTGTGCTTGACCGACGCGCCTATGATTCAAGAAATATTCTCGTGTCTGACTGCTGGACTGGTTTAGCGGCGTGGGCTGCGAGGAACGACATCTTGCCTTGCGAAGAAGATGCTCAGCCTCGTAATTTCCAGCCGACAGTGGGTACTGCTCTAGTGGACCAACAACTTCCGATAGATCCGAGTATGGCGGCCTCGGCATCAACTTCCTACCCCCAGCACTCTCAACCTCCCCCGTGTCGTTGGCAGCTCCTCCTCGTCGGAGTCGGAGTCCTGTGTAAAGTTGTCATTCATCTGCTCATTGAGCACCGCGTCCGCGTCCGCGGCGAGAGCCTTAACCACCTCATCCTGCTCCTCTAGATGCACCCCAAGACTCGACCTCCTCGATGGCTGCCGGGGTGGCGGACTTACTTACCTGGGACGATGCCGAGGTGCGAGAGTGCCTCGCACATCTCTGGGTCTTGTTCACCACCTCCCCCCACCGCTACCTCCTTGACGCCCGTACTGAGCGCATTGAGTGTTTCCGTCAGCCCCGCCACCCCTGAATCCTCATGCCCTTTGATGCTCCCCTAGCCTGTGTCTTGCATTATATTGTCCTTTACAGCGGCACAATACCGCTATAAAGGATTAATTCATCAAAAGCGGCACAAGTACCGCTATGGAGGGATGCATTCGTGCCAAGCGATTTTGTTGCCGTTATAGAGGGCATCTCGCTATTGAGGGCACCGCAATTGTGGACCGTGGACTGTACCAACAAAAACGTCTGCATAGCCATGGTACTCCACAAACCCATCAAATTTCCGAATCCACCGCCAGCAGATGGTGTATCACAAGCACGCTGACGCTCCAGTAGATACCCGAGGCAAACGGTCTCAGCAACACGGTGAGCAGCGTGGAGGCTGGCTGTAACAACATCGCGTGGCACGGTGTGGAGTGGAGACTCCGAGGCGCATTATAAGGAGACTAAATTGTCAGCGGGAAGAGGAGGCCATGTTGATAAACGGAGATGCAGCTCCTTACCACGATAACAATGCAGCAAGACATTCGATGACGTCTGCCGCTAGGACTTTGCGATTCTTCCTGCGTTGGGCGTGTGCGGTGGTGACATCGCCAAGTGTTGCTGCTTCGCCGCTTTTGATAGGAGCTGCATCTCCGTCTATCAGCATGGCCTCCTGTTCCCCCTGACCGTAAATCTCCTCATGACGAGTCTCGAAGACCATCACGAATCAGAAGGGCCACAACATGCAGTCAAACCAAACATCATCGAGGGGGGATAGACCTCGGTGCTCTTCTTGCTCTAAGCCACATGTACAGCACCTTTGCCGTTGTCGTCGAAATGTTCAACAGCAATTTCGCGAGAGGAAGCCTGAGCTTTCATTTGATGTTCACAGCACAGCACTGGGCCCTCTGGTGTGGAGGTGTGTCTTCAAATTTCACTGACACTAAACCGGGCACGGTAACCGGCACTATTCAGAATAGTGCTTCAATAGCGCTGGTCGGGCACTATACCGGCCACCGGCACTATTCATGGCACTTAAGAGGGCCCAATACTGTAATTCTGGAAATTCACATACTAATATCAAAGAGGGACTACCCGTTCGAGATGACGCCACCGTCGAAGGGGTTTATTTGTTGTTTTTTCCAAGCGGTTGCTGCTGCCAAAGAGAGCGTTGACGAAGCTGATTTTTCGTCACACTGTCTCAATACATCTGGGAGGCGTTTTCGCAACGCAGGGGGCGTACTTCCTGCGTCGCCGCCTTTCAGCTCACAACTACTGAGAACGCTGCTGTTGTACAACATCTCATGCGCACGATAGGGTTCCACTAAGCATAGGCCTCTCTCTGATGCAGCATGAGATCACACCCACACTCTCAGCATCCCTTTGTAATTGTTCCGAATTCCGCTAGACAGCAGTCCTTGTTGGTCAACGCCTTTCCTGGCCATACCCAAACAAGCCAGCCACCTTGAAAGAGTAGGGAGCCGGGCTGTTCTCTCGTGGAAGTCAATATTCACCGCGCCGAATACGGCCGTTTCAGTCGAAGGACGGAAAGAACACCCTTCGGATCCAGTGCCATGATCTTACGGCCTTTCGGACGCATCACGTTGCCGCCGAAAACGAAGGCACGAAGAGTAAAAGCTGTCCAGAACCGGCCCTGAGCAGAAAAACACGGCAGCAGTGTCTGTGGAAGCGAGCAGGAACCGGAGGCATTATGATTGGCCGTTAATCCGAAACCTAGACCAATGTTGCGTGACGCCCGACGCGCAGCGCAGCGTACGACGGGGTGACGGGCAATAACGACAGCGGGTGTCAGCGATAAGAAAGGGTTCATCAAGAAGAAGCACGTGTCAGTCCTGTGTGCAAGTTGAACTAACTAAATCGATCACTCGACGTGAAACAGACAGTGCCTCTAACCGGGAGAGAAGGCGCAAATTCCGCTACTGCCTGCTGTCTTGAGTTGGATGTGCCCAGAGGGGCAGCAGCAGCAGCAGCAGCAGCAGCATATGCATGCGTGGACGGGCGGTTCCTCTGACGCACACGCGGCTGTGAGGTGCTACGGCGCGAGACACTTGGCTGCGTCAGTCTAAATCCAGCTTTCGTTTGCAGTTTGTCCAAAACGCTGCTGTCCTTCCAGCCATCTATCTACCCGTTCTGATCGGCTTAGGGCCCTCGCTCTGTGTTGTGCAATCGCTGCTACTTCCTGGCGTTGCTCTTTACACAGAAAAAGCGGAATACTCGGTCACCGCGACCAAGTATGACACGCGAGCAAGTGACTCCAACGGCTGCGGCACCGACGGGTGCAGTCCGGACTTGATGAACGTAAGTGCCTCGTCGAACCCGGCCCTACGGGTTTGCTGGTAGTCGTAATGGTAGTTACTAATGGTGATGGGGATTGTATTGTTAATGATAATGGTGATAGTGGTGATCAGTCTTGGATGGCAATGGGAATGGTGTTGGTGTTGGTGATGGTGTTGGTGATCAACACAGAATGGTCATGGTGATGGTATTGGTGGTCAATCCTGAATGGCGATGGGGATGGCGACGTTGATGGCATATGGTGATCAATCCTGAATGGTGAGGGTAGTGAAAATGGTATTGGTGATGAATCCTCAATGGTAATCAACCCTGCATGGTATCGGTGATGAATTCTCACTGGATGGCTGCAAGGAGGCCGTCCATGTGGGCCGGAAGGCGCCATCGAATTTCGTTCCTCACAGCTGTTGTTGTTGGTAACGTCACTTTGAGCACCGTGTGGATGTCTTTTGTGCTCAGTGGTGTCTCCACGACCCCCGTGCAACGCGCGTTTTCTGGATGGGAGAGCCCAGCAGTCAGACAAGCACGATCCCTTTGCCAAGTACCAACGCATATCGTTACCACGTGTGTAAATCCCGAACAACATTGTGTTGTCTTTCGACATGATTGTCTACACCTCACCCGACCGACGGCGGTGGGCAGGATGGTGCAACGCAGGGTCGTCGCTGAATGAGATACTGTTATGTTGGCATTCGTTTGCGTCGGCAGTGTCGCTGCCATGACGAGGGCGACTTACCGTTCCCAGATTTCATCAGTGGACTATTTTTGAACAGGTGTCATGTGCAATCAATCGGTAGTACTGTAGATAGGATGTTTCTATTATCGACCAGGGTTGGCCCGTTGTTGACTGACACGTCAGCTTAGTTTGTTTCTCGTTCACACGCGACCTTTCCACACGCTTCCGACACGGGCGGCAGGATGGAGACCTGAACGACGTTCCAGAGTCCCGTTGGTCATGCGAGACGGCCCTGGCGGGAACAGAGTTCGAGTGCTACGCGACCTTCGATCTCGGCTCGTCGCAAAGCCTCACCAAGCTTACCATATGTGAGGAGTGAAGAGAATATCAGAGCATACCCGCCACTATTTATTGCCGCCAGCGCCGTCGTGCGGCCAGGCCTGAATTATGTGCCTCCTCTCAAGTACCGTGTTTTGCTGCGGTGGTTCGGGTGGTCGGTGGTGCCTTTGAATGCCGTTGTTGAAAACCACTGGAAACCCAAACACCACGTACATGCCCGCCGCACTACAATTGTAGATCGAAGAAAACCACCACTTAGTCATTACGAGTGGGTGCGTTTGGAACGCGTTGAGCGGGGAGAATTTGAAAGTTTGCAAAAAAAATCTCCTTTGGCCCCACCATTGCCCAACCTCATTCCTTTCTGGACTTGGAAGTTATATTCTCAGACAAGAAGATGTTTCTCTATCATGTAAGCACACGTCTACGAGTCATGGCAGCTTTGCCGAGTTTGCAGATAACCACCCGATGATTCTCTTCTCTCTCTCTCTTTGTTATTGGGCCTCATGTTTCGAGTGCTCGGATAGTTCGTGTTTTGTAAAAGCTCTAGCCCACGGGAAACCTCGTGAGTGAACCGTGCCGCCACGTGTGAGGGGAGAAGCCTTCGGAGTGCAGCCATCGCAGTCTCCGGAAGTCACCCCTAAACACATTAGTTTGAAGTCATTCAAAGATTCAAGGCTTGTTCGTCCGCACACACACAACACGAGAAATTGGGCGCAAGAATTGGCTAAGCCCGCCGGCCTCGGCCGCCCCACATGCGGTTCGCGGTGGTGCAAGCCATCTTGCTGCGGAGCGACTTCTGTACCTCATCGATGATGATGAGCGCTGAAGGCATGCTGCTCACCGAGCCAAGCGCTTGCTTCTTCGCTCTGTTTGATGCCATGCGTGGCTTTATGTGCGTACATTGCCGTAAGGGACGGAGATATTAGGTACAGAGTGGTTGTGGTTCATATCAAGGCAACGCCAATGCCTTCCAGGTTGGGTTTCCATCCATGTCTTCTAGCATTGAACTCCTTCTTGTTTTTCATTTTTCCTCCATGTTGCAGGGAGATATGGAGGCCGGATTATTTACTTCGGGGGCAAGCGCCTTCATTTGTAGCGACGCTCTGTCGCCGTAAAAAGTCGCCAGAGTAGTGGGTGCTGAATTCAAGGCGGGTCCGCTCACGGGCAGAACGCTATCCCCTAGACCACACGCGCACTCACTTTTCGTTACAGATGTGGTGAAAAAGTCCCCTCTCAACTACAAACAACGAATGGCCCTGGTGCCAGGTGTCAGTGCAGCCCGGCTTCTTCTGTGTGTGTACGGATGAACAGTTCTACGAATCCCCTCACGCTGCCACTGCTGTGGCAAATTTATATTGTCCATACAATCTCAAGTGATTATGCAATTTCCAACTTTTGGGAGTTAGGAGGCAATCTCGTTGGGGAGTTCTGCATGAACATTTGAGGCAGGGGGGCGTTCTAGTCTATTTGGCACCCAACCAAGTGGGTGCAGCAGGAGGGTCCGATACGTCCGCGGAAAGCGCTCGCCGAGATGCAATACCATGTGGTGTTGTCACAGCAGTGAATTCTTGATTGTGGAGCAACCGAGCTTTGAAAAATCTTTGTAGGTGGGGGCTGCCATATCTCCTCCTCCTTTGCGGTAGTGCATAGGCGAGACGGGGGTAGACTAATGCCATCTCTCCGCCTCTTTTGCGGTAGTGCAAAGGCGAGAGGGGGGTAGACTAGTGCCATCTCTCCGCCTCTTTTGCGGTAGTGCATAGGCAAGAGAGAGGCGCCGAGCGTGCACCTTCTTTGGTCCCGCTCGGCCTTCCGTCGTTCGTGGATGATACAACAGAGTAGGTTGCCCCGACGGTTGTTGTTTTTGACTGATGCTACTGTAGGGCGTGCAACTCTCGGAGTGAAATCTTACTTGAACACTTGCGGAGAAAACGTGTAGTCCGGTGTTGGTGATTTGATAGCGAAATAGGACGCCTCCCACAGGCTTACGCAGAGTGGAAGATGAAGTTTCTCGCGGCCGAGGAGCTAGGCGCCAATGGAACGGACCGAGAAGCTGCTTTTTTCAGCAATAAAGACGGGGCATGTTTGACAAACTGACACCGCGCCGCCCCCCCCTTTGCCCCGCGCATTGTTTTTTTCGGAGAAAGACTTCTATAAGTGCGACGACGTGGACAGAGCTACGAACCCCTTCATCGTGTCCACGTCGACCGACGGCACCACCTACACCACCTCCTTCGAGGACGTCAACACTATACCGACCGCGATCGGAGCGGGCGAGGACTTCGCGTTCCCCACGGGCTCCAGCGGGCGGTACGTGCGGTTCACGGGCGAGCTCGCGGACGACCAATGGCTGAGCATCAACGAGGTGATGGGTCTATTATCACACCTCTTGGTGTTGCGCGTTTCGTGGTGGGAACGGTTGGCTTGGTGGTGGTGGCGGTCGGGGGAGGGGGGCCGAGAGGTGCAGGCCGTAGCCACCGCGCCCCCGCGGCGGTGCCCTAGCTCCGGTTGTTGTTCTCCTGTGTTGGTGCGGCGGTTTGTTTGCTTCACCTTATGTTTACTCTTTGTTGAATCCTCCTCGCCGACTCGGGTTGGAATGAACCAAGCTATTGGGTGAGACGCGAAAATTAGAGGGCAATCGCGCACTGGGACTGACGTATGTATATTCGTTGGTCAGCCGGTTGAGCGCGGTTGATGCTAACATTATAACGAAACAGGCACACACTCTTTCCCTCCCTCCCGCGCACCATCCCGACACACCCTCCCTTCCTGTTGCAGGCTGAAATATATGTGGACGTCGCCACGCCTGCCCCTGTGGTGCCGGAAACACCTGCCCCCATCCCCCCACCAACCCCCGTGCCTACGGTAACAGCTACAGCTGCTCCC